AGTATATTTTTGATGTTGCTTCAATTGCCCGGGGGGTCCTCCTCAAAGATGAAATCACAACAGACCCCTCAGAAATTCAAGAAATCCTCCATGAATACTACAAGAAACTTTATTCTCAGAAATATGAAAACCTGAAGGAAATTGACCAATACTTGGATAAGCAATGATTTTATAGAACTAAAATCAAAATGTGTGAGCCATAGGAGGAAAAAAAAGAGAAATTGCACTTAATTTTTAAAAACCAAGATTCAAAAGATGTTAAGAAATTTAAATGCCCATACCTAGCTTGGAAGCAAATACTTGTAATGTATGCTACATAAAGAACTAGTATTGCCTATGTTAAAAATAAAAACTTCTTACCAACCAATAAAAACAAATCACCCTAATTTGTAAAACTGGCAGAAGATTTGAATAGATGATTAAAAAAATACCAATTCTAGCTAGAACAATTAGACATGAAAAATAAGTAAAGGGATACAAACAGAAAATGTAGAAGTAAAATTATCTCTGTTTGCTGATGACATGATTTATAGAGTGAAAAATATAAAGACTCCACCAATACAGTGTTATAATTGACAAAGGTATTCAGAAATATTGCTGGATACAAAATAAACAGGAAAAAAAAACAATAGCATTTAGAATAGTGACACCTCAGAAAAGCATGAAAAAGAAAATTATTATCATTATTTTTGTGTGTTTACAATGTTCAGGAGGGATTTTTTTTTCTTTTTTCCTTATTAGATCATAGCTGTGTACTATGATCTGATACTGTTATGGGGTACAGTGTGCTATTTTTATATACAATTTGAAATATTTCCATCCAACTGGTTAACATAGCCTTCATGTCATTTTCTTAGTTATTGTGTTAAGATATTTATATTCTTCATTTAGAAAGATTCCCGTGTACCCTTAAAAAAAGATCCATAGACGTGATCTCACAAATCACCCTTCCTCCACCCATCCTCCCCACTCCCTTCTCCTCCCTCTCCCCTTCTCCCATATTCTTGGGCTATAATTAGGTTATAGATTTCCTATGAAAGCTATAAATTAGTTTCATAGTAGGGCTGAGTATATTGGATACCTTTTTCCATTCTTGAGCTACTTCGCTAAGAATATTTTCCAGCATCATCCATGTAAACATGAAGGAGGAA